TATCATTAATAATAAGTGTTTCTTTTCTTTTTAGCCAGAAATGGCCCTTAGAGTTAGTTCACACCATAAGCAGTGCGTTCCGGTCTGATTCTGGCCGGAACGCACTGCCTCGCATTGCGGCCGGCTCACTTTTTTGGCCGGGCTGGAGGGGGCAGAGTGGGACATTGAAGTGGCCTGCCACGTCTCCGGCCGCAATGCGATCGCCCACGCGGGATCGCAAGGCACATTGTGCCTGCAGTGCGGTCCGGTGTGATCAAAATACTGCAAGCACTGGGGTACTTGCTGCCTAGATTTGTGATTGAGAAGTATTTCTACTCTACATGTTTTCGTGCATGGGTGGGCAAAGCCGGTCCTGAGAATGTAGCTGAATGTTACTACTAATACATGGGAGAAAGTTTAATGGTTTCCCAGTTTGGATTTGAAAGCTTCCAGTTAAGATTTAACATTATTTCTTTTTCCATTGTTACATTTTTTTTTGGTTGTTTTGGTATGAAATTCCTTCCAGTGTTCTTGGAAAGCTGTGCACTTTGGAATGAGTGTTTTCTGCTCGGCTACACTAAAAACAGCTGCATTTTGCAAGATAAGACAAAATCATTGCCAGCATGCCTGCTATGCACTTTAGGCCAAAATTAATTCATGCCTTCATTGAATTCATATGCACCATACCTATAGAGATCGAAATCCCACTGTACTTGTTGCCAATTGTTAATATTTTCAATTAGCTTTGTGTTTTGGTGGTCCTCAAATATGCAAGCTATGTTCTAGTAGCAAAACAAAATCATTGCAACCATCTGTTTTCACTGGAGCACTGAGCCAAGGGGAGGTTGTGAAAAAACTGAAATAGCCCATACACATCTAGATTGTGGTGGCAGATTGTGGTTGTCTGTAAACCGATTGGCACATATCATTATTCCAGAAAGGAATAATATAGCTGAATTGACTATGACAGTATAGTCAGTGTTTTTCCCCATAGTTCTCCTTAGGGTAACGGGAGGACACAAACTAGCTTCCTCCCGTCACCCTAAGCTCAGTATACCGCGAGCTGTAGCCGCAGCTGAAGCGTATCCCGACAATTGTGCTGGGATCCGCCCAGCTGCGTGACTGACAGCTGGCTCTGCCTATCTAGAGGCAGAGCCAGCTGTACCTTCCCCCGTCTGTTCCGCCAGTCAGCGCTGGCAGATCGGAGAGGGGGATCCAGCCCCTCCCCTGCACGGCAGAGAGCCGTGACAGGATCGAGAGGTGAGCGAACGCCGGTATGTGTTCGCTCAACTCCCGATCTACTGAGCCGACCTGTGACAGTCTCATTGCCACAGGTTGGCTAGAACTATGAGGTGAATGAAAAGCACTCACCCCATAGTTCTCCTTTAATCACCTCGGGGGGGGATTTATTTTTTACTATATAATGAAAAAAGTACAGTGAATTTAAAAAACAAAAAAAATGTTTTCCCTACGTTATGTTAAAAAAAAATTATTCTTACCCATATTTTTGGTAAAATATAAAAGGCAGGGTCACGTCGGGTAAATAGACACCAATCAAAAATTGTTCATAGGCGACGCTTTAAAAGCTTTTACCGCTCATCAGTTTCGTGTTATCAGTGATTAATGGCCCTAAAATGATTGCTCTCACTCCGACGTTCACGACGATATGTAACATGTGCGGCCCAATAAGCGGAATCCTCGTTTTTGCATTTAGGTGCACCTGACGCCTGTTTGCATGTGTTTGTGGGGGGCGGGGGACTTAAAAAAAAATTAGTTTTTATTTTCATGCTTCTTTAATTTTTGTATTCCTTTTTTTTATTTTTGTTACATACCACCATGAACGTCGGAATGAGAGCAATAATTCTAGGGCCATTAATCGCTGTTAACACTAAATTCATGAGCGGTAAAAGCTTTTAAAGCAGCGCCTATGGCCAATTTTGGGTAAGGTAGGTTATTTTTTCACGATTTTGCAGGTGCACGCAATTTTAAGGCTTGACATGTTTGGTATCCATTTACCCGACATGACTCCGTCTTTTATATTTTACCAAAAACTTGGGGTGATAATAAATGTTTCATAACATAGCACAGGCAAAACAGATTTTCTTTTTTAGTACTTTTTTCTTTTATATAGTAAAAAGTAAGATAACCCCCAGTGGTGATTAAATGCCACCGAAAGGAAGCTCTATCTGTCCCCAAAAAATTATCTAAAACAAATTTTTGTACGGCGTTGAATGGCTGAATAAATGTCAAAGTACCACAGCACTGGATACTAAAAAATGGCCCGGCCAGGAAGGAGGTTTAACACCTAGGGCCTAGAGGGGAGGGAAGTACGGTAGCTTGCTTTGCTGTGTCTGTGTGTTCCTGGAGACTTTTAATATCCCCTCGCACAGACTTTTTATATCCCCTCGCACAGACTTTTTATATCCCCTGTATATGTCTCGTTCCTCATTATTTGAGTTGTTGACCCCAGAACAAAAAGATGAGTGTAAACCTTTCAATTTAGAGACCTGTTCTGGTCATGTCTGTCCAAGAGGGAATTTCTCTTATTATTGGGGTCTCAGGGACAGGACGTAAAAGGCAATCTCCCCAATGGAACACAGCAAAAAATAAATGTACTACTTTGAAACCACTCCATAGAACTAAAAAAATGCTTTGACTATACACCCAGTTTAAGGAATAAGCTCCACACATCTAAAACATTAACCCTTTTGTTGCTAGTGATGTAAGGCATATGTTGCTGGCAGCAGGTCCTTCTAAACAAATAGCTGCTGGGACTCTGTTCAAATGTGTAAAGCCTGCGGTCAGCTTTACAGTAGAAGCGATTCTAGTGGCTCAGCTGCTGCCAGATCGCTTCCAGGAGCCGGTAAAGGGTGCGCTCTCCTCCCTCCCCCGCTCTGTTGCCCTTCCTGGGGGCCCTGGGACCAGCATCACAGGTGTCGGCGGATAGAGGGGAGAGAGACCGACGAACATCCATTAGCTGATCTCCTCTATGCAGAATGGAGCCAGAAGCAACGCTGATTGCATCACTTCCAGTTTCTCAGCTGTCAGTCCCCAGCTAGAGAAGCAGGGGAAGAAGCTATTCAAGCGTGATCTGCACTTGAACAGCTTCTTTGCTGTGGAAAGTTGACACTAGGTGTGTCTAATAGACCCTTAATGTCACCTTTTTTTAAAGAGCACCTGTCACCACTAATCTAGTATCACAGTATCACATAGGGGACTCACAAGGCTCTATATGATGGCAAAGTAAAAAAAAATAGAATTTTTTTTAAAGGCCCCCGTGAATGCGTGAAGTAAAGTAAACACATGCTGAATTAAGTTTTACTTGCTTAGGAGAAAATTACATCTGGATACAGCATTTTGCAGGGGGAAAAATAATAATTATATATATATCTATATCTATTCTGGATAAGCATGTGCATATAGAAAACTAACATTGCACTACAGCACCATCTACAGCTCAAAAGGCATATCACAGTCAGTAATACAATCGGTACATATCAGCATGTGCTTCAGTATTTCCAACAGTTAGGTGTCACCGCGTGTGTCAAATAATTGTATATATATCTATATCTATTCTGGATAAGCATGTGCATATAGAAAACTAACATTGCACTACAGCACCATCTACAGCTCAAAAGGCATATCACAGTCAGTAATACAATCAGTACATATCAGCATGTGCTTCAGTATTTCCAACAGTTAGGTGTCACCGCGTGTGTCAGAGTGAGAGTAATAATTCTAGAGCCAATATTCATGGTTAACTCCTAAAGCGATGACCTATATGGGCTCTTAATGTGTCGCCTATGAGCAATTTGGGGCACCGTATTTTGTCACCTTTTCACAGGTGCATGCAATTTTGACATGTTGTGTATCTATTTACTCAGCACAACTTCATCTTTTATGTTTTACAAGAAAATTGGGTATTATAGAGTTGCGCTAATGTCATGTGACTTAAAAAGTTTGCAACTGCCGCCATTTTATTCAACAGGGTCTGTGCTTTCAGGAAAAACTCTTGGTCTTTTTAAGTAGTTTTTAGGCCTAAAATGTGGATTATTACATGTGTGCAAAAAAGTTGGCAGGGAAAGGGTTAAACCGAGAGTTCATAGCTTTAACATAAGCTAAATTGGTAATGCAAATGAAATGCATGCATCGAGAGGTGCTTCAACACACCTGAAGATGTCTGCGAGAGCACCCTGGGCACCCAAAAGCCATGTTTTTTAACCCTGTGACACCAGGACAAGAATTGAAGAGCATGTGGTTCATCAGGGCTATATGGCACAGACAGCAATAAGAACCTGACAGAGGTTTTTTTTTTCCGTCTGTCACCATTGGAGACCTTTCTTTTGCTGACCCACTATCATTGGGGTAGGAAATGTTGGGAAATCTCCCCAGTGTGAGCACAGACTGCAAAAACTGACTGAGGTTCGAAGCCCCTGGTGCCTAATGTGCAGCCCGCCAAGTGTTGGGCACTTTGAAGAGTGGCAGCAGAATGCATTTACACTCCAGGCACAGAAATGAACAGAGTACTGTCATCTAGAGTGATTTCCGCCAGACAGTAGAAATGTAGTCCTACCCCGACGTCATCGGGGTGAAAGCGTTGCATGAGCTAGTAATCTGGTAAGTAAATACTGAGGTGATCAAGGGAGAGGGTTACCATTCTGGTCATTGACCATCAGTGCGGAGGGGGGATTAACAGCATTGCCACTGACCATCAATGAAGGGGGTGTTAACAGCTCTGCCAATGAAAACCAATGTAGGGGTTTGAAATAGCGCCGCCACTGACCACCATTGTTGGGTTATACTGCTGTCACTGTCCCTAGTGCTGAGTTGCATTACGGCCCATTCATTATAAATGGGCAGCCTTACTTGATGCAGTATACCTTTTTTAATGCATGAAAGTGAACTGCTATTGTGCAGCCCCCTGGAAGTGTCAAGACCCTCCAAGTTTTCAAGTTGACCACCACCCACCTATGGTTTTTGTCAAGTTGACCACCACTATTCTAAGCCTTTAAAGGAGAACTATGAGGTGAGTGCTTTTCACTCACCTCATAGTTCTAGCTGACCTGTGACAATGAAACTGTCACAGGTCGGCTCAGCAGCTCGCGGTATACTGCGACATCTCCGTATACCGCGAGGTACAGCTCGCGGTATACTGAGCCTAGGGTGACTGGAGGACGCTAGTTTGTGTCCTCCCGTTACCCTTAGGAGAACTATGGGGAAAAGCCCTAACCCCATAGTTCTTCTTTTAAAGGCACCCTTTGAGTTACTCTATTCCACATACACCCTGAACAGTGTGTATGGGGCAATCTACACTCCTAGATATTGTGTTCAAACAACCGACACCAGCAAATGTCTGAGAACCCGAGCAGCAACTGCATCTGATTTTGAAGTTAATGTTTGGCTGGCCGTTTTCCACTCGGCTCCTTTGTATTTGTAATTGGGTTGTTAAGTCAGGTGGAGCCAACAGGGCCACCCAAATTGGCAGGATTCCTGCTGAATTGGGCAAACTTTGAGCCGTGTATGGCCAGCTTTAGTGCAGAGTTCTGACTGTGCTAGGCAGGCAAGTTGCCATTTGAAGGAAAACCAATACAACACTGGGTTTATTACATTGTTTCACAAGCTTTGCCCTTCAACCTTGTGGTTGCTTGTTGCATAGTCGAAGTCCGGAATTTTTAAGCAGTTTATTTCTTCATGTCAGATATTGCTAAAGAAGCTGCATGTGAATTGTCATATAGCCCATTGCCTAATATTTCTTGCCTCCCACATGTAATGCTTTCCAAATGACTGCATTCCTGAGGTTGGGGCGGATGAGGAAATTCCTGTAAGAGAAACTTTGGGAATTGCAAGTTCTTCTAGAAACTCATGGGAACTGATAAAAATGTAATTATTTTCAACACAAACGCTTCAAAAAACTTCACAGACTTACTTTGAGCTGCTGAGAAACATTTTCGTAACATACAACTATGGCCATATGCCTTTTATTGTTCAAATGTTTGCAGGTAAGTAGACAGGAAATGTAGAAGTGAAAATTAGCCTTGAAACGCTCATGACAGGAACATGCTCCGATCTGTGCAAAAAGGACGGTGGTTATAGGTGTTCAGGCTTAGACCAAATGTAGGATTTCTTATGTATTTTAGGATTTCATTTTTTTGCTCTTTGCTGCTAATGCATGTTGGCTCATGGATGGAACAGGTTGGCTCCTGGAGTTTACATGGATTTGGCCTCTTTCTTTAACCACTTGCTGACCGGGGTGTTTACACCCCCTTCCTGGCCAGGCCATTTTTCAGTATTCAGCGCTGCAGTACCTTGACTGACATTTATTCAGTCATACAACGCTGTACTGAAATTGATTTTATGCCATTTTTTGAGGGACACCTAGAGCTTTCTTTTGTTTTGCTATTTTTTACTATATAAAGAAAAATGTGAAGAAAATATTGAGAGAAAAAAACCCACATGTTTTCCCTACGTTTATATTAAAAAACATTTTATTACCCAAATTTTGGGTAAAATAAAGACGATGGTGTCACGTCGGGTAAATAGACGCCAAACATGTCCAAGCTTTAAAATTGCATGCGCCCGCGAAATCGCAAAAAACGACCATACCCAATATTGGCCATAGGTGACGCCTTAAAAGGTTGTACCACTCCTCGGTTTAGTGTTATCAGTGACTAATGGCCCCCGAAATGATTGCTCTCACACTGTCATTCGTGGTGATATGTAACGTGTGGCACAATCGTCATTTTCACACGTAGGCGCACCCGAAACATTTGTGTATGTGTAACTAATTAATTTTTTTTCCACTTATTTTTCACTTTTTCTTTTGCTATCGCATAGGGGCTAAGAATCCCCCTGTGTGATAGCCAATTTACACAGACAAATCCTCTTTATAGAGACATCAGGGGTCCTCCAAAGAAGCTGATGAAGCAGAGATCTGCTTTTTCAGCTTCTCCGGCTACAGAAGCCACAGAAATGACAGAATGAAAACGTAAGTGGTACAATTTACACCACTTACATTAAGTAATTTACACCAAATCTGTATTCAGTAATTGGAGGGAAGATCAGCCAGTGGCAACCAATTAACTATATGTACACTATAGGTTTACTTCTTTTGGCAGACATTAGCAGACAAGATACTGTCATAATCAATTTAGCTGGATTATTTCTTTTTGGAAGTTACTTATGTGCCAATCGGTTTACAGACGACCACAATCTGAATGTGGAAGTGATGTAATATACATCACTTCGTGCATTCAGAAAACAGAAGAGAGATCAGAGCCGCCGTGCCGGTTCCCGGGCCCGCATCGGGCACAGCAGAGCTCGGAATCGGCGGCTGCAGAGGGCGGGACGCCCACCCACATGCATAATACAAGCGATCCGGCGTCTCTACAGGCGCGGGAACGCCTGTATGTAAACAGCCATTGCTGGCTGTTTACAATTTAAGCAGTATTCCCGAGTGGGACAGGCGAGGACATTTAAAATCGCCCATTCATATTCAAGAAGCTCCCGGCCGGCTGTTTAATTACAACAGCTGGCCGGGAAGTGGTTAAGAAAGTAATGAGTGTAATAGACAATAGAGACATTTCTATTTGAACTTATTACACAATGAAATCTTGTGCAATGATAATGAAAAGGTCTTGTGCACTGATGTCATTTCCTCTACACTTTTCCAGTAAAAGTTATTCCCTCTGTTTTTCTTTTTTTTAAATTCTTTTTAGTCCTGCAGAAGTGCTCTCTGATCCATTCAGCTACCAGCACAGTATGAACCTTCTAGGGTAGCTGGAGTATTAAAGGAGAACTATGAGGTGAGTGATTTTCACTCCGCCTCATAGTTTGAGCCGATGTGTGACAATTAAATAAATATACTACACTTGTATACGTGAAGTCAAAACTTTATTGTTGAGTTTGAGTTTTGAGAGTGTGAATGGGTTAGGACCCCTGCCAGGCAGAGATTAAAGGTTCACCCTAGATCCTAAAAAATGCAGTACAATGTGCCGTCCCAAAGAACGGCAGCTGAACGGTAACTGAAGATCTTTAGAGGCTTTCAAGGGGTTGTAGTTTGTTTGGGGGTGTGCAGTGCTGGCATTTGTTGCTTTATACACTTGTATTCACTGATATACTGGATTTGCTGTGAATTGAATTAAAGTCTGCAGTATTGGAATTCCATGGATAGTGCGGTCTGTTCGTATACTGCTGCTTTCAATCTAGTAGTTTGAAATAATAAGCCTGAATGTACTATCTCAGCTCCACAATCTTGGATATCGCCTCGGACTCCCCTGTGCAACAGTTTCAATTGTAAGGAACTCTATGACCACCCTGTCTTCGCTTGATGGTCCACCAAGAGGGTTTGGACGAAGTTGTTGATGTATAGTTTGCTTTTTGTTATTAATGCTGCTCACAAACTATAACATAAGTATAATTCATCCATCAACTACACTACACTCTGGATAAATTGGAATGTTTGGGTCTTGTAGCTCATGCTCCGTTCCCTAAATGCTGTGAAACTTCAGCCAATGTATTTCATATGATGGTCTTGCCCTCCAATCTTTGTAGCTTAAGGAAATGTCCATTGTAGATGGTAGACTTCCAGCGACTTTGTCTTCTGGAACAAGCTGTTTCTTGGTTATTCTCAATGATTCTTTGCCACTTTCACATCCGTGTGCCATAGAACCATGAAGGTCATTCTACACAACATTGTGCAATTGTCCCATTAAATAAACATGAAACTTCCTAAATCATCTACACAAGAAGACCATGCCCCAATAATGGTTAGACTCCACTGCTGTACAGGTGTCTAATACGCCACCGCTAAATACACCTCCCTAGATCTTCATCTTGGGAATATTGTGGGGGTTTTTTTTGTACGTTTATGTGTGACCCCTATTTTTTTTCCTTATTAGACACAAGCCTCTGTGTCAGTGTTGTTACTTATTACTAAGTATAATCACAAATAAACAAAAATTTTTTAAAAAGACAGTGGCAGCTTCCATATATATCCTGTGACCAGTTTAAGAAAACCTAGAAGAGATCACAATGACATAACAGCCGGATGCTACAGCTGCAGTAGGCGTTGCAATGTGAATTGGTTGTCAGCAATTACTCAGCACTTTCAGATATGCTGTAAACAGCCGAGTCACGTTATGAGCTTCCCCTTATGCTTATTGCAACAAATGAAAGTTCTCTAAACTATCATTTGTCTCACAGGTGGCTCAGCATTTTTTAAGTTCTAGCATGAAGGTCACTTTATTTTCAGGGACCCCTAACTGCTCCATAAAGCTGGTACCTAACTTTTGAGGTTTTCCTCTAGTTATCAAAAAAGTGCTGCTGACTCCTGGATTCCATATGAATTTGTCCACCCCGCCCTATGCCATGAATATATTCTCCTTAAGGCTAGGTTCAGATATCGGTGATCGTGCACGATTGCACACAGCCATTGCCGCACAGCCCCATTGATTTAAATGGGGTTACATCCGCGCCACAATCGCTACATAAAGATACATGTAGGTTAGAGCGTTAGATGTGGAGATGATTGTTCTGATGTCACTCACAGCTGCAGTAAATGTTTGTGAGTAGCATTAACCACTTCAGGACCGCCTAAATGGCACGGTCCTGAAGCGGTTATACCAAGATCATGCCTGCTGCAGCATATGCATATTACCGCAAACGTGATTGCAATGGAGTGAGAGCAATAATTGTAGGGTCATCAATCGCTGTTAACACTAAATTGATGAGTGGTAAACGCTTTTAAAGCGTCGCCTATGGGCAATTTTGGGTATTGTAGTTTTTTTTGCCATTTCACCGGCGCACGCAATTTTAAGGCTTGACATGTTTGGAATCTATTTACCCGACACAACCCTATCTTTTCTACCAAATCATTTGGTAATATATTGTTTCTGTGCACATAAATTCATTTTACTGTTTTTTATATTTAAACCTTATTGGTTTGATTAAACATTTGTGCAAATATTGTGTTATATAAAAAATTGCAACTAGTATTTAGTTTTTTTATTCTGCAGGGCCATTATTTCAAAAAATCTATCATTGTTTTGGGTTTTAGGCTGTTTTTTTTAGCCAAAACTTCAGGTTGCATCATATGTGATATTGTAAAGTACTGCAGAGACTGTTGGCACTATATAAATCCTGAAATAATACAAATTTCTAATGTGTGGGGAAAAAAATTGGAAATTGCACCGGATGGCAAGTGGATAAGTAATATGTTCTCGGCTATTTTTAGTGCCTTGTTGCCAGGCTTTGGGCTTGTGTAGATGGGATGGGTGTGATATCTCTGAGGCAGCTGTCACGTACCTGGTAAGAGACCGGAAGGTGAGGAGGCTTCTCTTGCGGCTCGTGTCTCTCTACCGCTGGAAGTAGGGACAGGGAGCAGGCAGACAGCGAGGAGCACGAGTGCCGTGGAGTATGAGTCCAGAAGTCCTCTGAGCGGATGGTATCCAGGCAAAGACGGGAGACTGAAGCCAGGTCAGGGGAGCCAAAAGTCGGAGCCAGCCGGGCAGCAGGGTACACAATCGAGAGGCAAAAGCAGAGTCCAGAAAGAGGCCGAGGTCAGGGGCAGGCGGCAATCCAAATAGCAAGGTCCAAAAACAAGCTGGGTCACAGGAGGCAAGGCAGGAGCAGGCACAGGAACAACTAGCTGAGAAAGACCATCAGCAAAGGAGCAAGGGCAGACTCACTCTATGTAGTGGAGCTAGATCCGATTAGCTGCATCACTTCCTGTGCGACGGCCGTTGCACGTGTTTCCGTGCACTTCCGGTTTGGGTCACTTCCGGTTTCGGCGCGCATGCGCAGCCGCCATCTTGCCCTTACAGCAGCATTTCATTCAGAATTCATTGAAGGTGCGTTTGACCTGATTTCAGCGGGTTTTTTATTCTCATGGGCTTGTATGGTTCTGTAAATCCTGTGTGACGAAAATGTAGGTCCAGAGAAAAGCTTCGGAGCACGGCATCCTTTTGGATGAAGGAGATCCACATAAAATAGTTTAAATACTTCATTTGTTCACATTTCTAGATTTCTTTAGGTAGTGACAGTGTCAAATAAAGCAATGTGCTCGCATGACCTTATGGAAGTTATCCAAGCTTCCAGTTACAACAGTGCCCGTTTCTTTGGTGTTTGGCTCTTTGTCTGTCATTCTGTTTGTCCATCGGTCTGTCTGATGTTGTATTTCAGTGTCCTACTGTGCCTGCCTATATATCTCATGCATTCACTCTGTTCCAGGATATTACTACTTAAAGGGTATCCAAACCCTAAAATATAATTGTAATCTATTGCAGCCTACCAGTCCTGTAATAGATGAGGTGCCTCCATTACTGCTCTTTGTCCAGGCCAATCTCCTTTTACTGCCACCTTCTAATTATTCGAATAACGCTCTCCATTTTCGTGCATGGCGGTGCCCACTACGTGCCACACTGGTTGGACTTTAGACGAGCCCCATGCAAGGGTTAAGAATTTTGTTCTCTGGAGTTCTGCTTTAACTCATCCATATTAAGGCAGCCCATTCAAATGAAGGGGCTGGCAATGCACCAAAACGTCTTTAAAAAAGGGTACCACTAAATATGGTGGTGTATTACCATGCATTGAGGTTTGTTGCAATGCATGTGCAGTTCCCCTACAATCCAAGTATGTACCTGGGTGTTTTCACACTGTTGCATTAGGCTGGGCACACACCTTACAACCATCGCAAGACTTTTGTCTTGCGATGGTTGTAAGGTAATTTAAAAAAATTTATGATCTGCCTATCTTGGACAGGCAGATCGTACTTGCGATAATCGCAAGCCCGCCCCGCTGAGGGGCGGGCTTTCCGATGATTGCAATGCCGAACGGGCAGTGTGCGCTTGCGCACACTGGCCCGTCCGGCTTTTATCTTCCGAACATGCTACACACCCTACGAAAATCGTACGATTCTCGGCGGGTTTTCGAACATGTTCCTAAGATAAAAGTCGTGCGACCTTACAGTAGTAGAGGTCGCACGGCTTCCACACACCTTACGATAATTGTATGATCGCGGGATTTCCCACGATTATCGTAAGGTGTGTGGGCACCTTTAGAAATGTATGTAGAAAAAGGCAGGACTGGACTAATCCAGGTAACCCATGCTCCTTAAATGCTCCTAGCTGGCGCCTAATTTTTGAGACTTTCTCTCGTTCATCATCAATGAATCTGGCTCCTGGGTTGGACAGACTGGCTTCTGAATTCCATAGTAATAGTTTTGTCAAATAAGAAAAGTAGAAGGAAGGAGAAAGAGAGAATGCTGAGGTGTCACTGTTGTACAGGGATATGCAAGATCTGTTCTGTCAGCAGTTGCAAAACAAAAAATAAGCAAAAACAAAACCCGACTATGACTCTGCACTTTCAGATACTCTATAAAAAGCTGTGTCACGTTTCTGAGGTTCTCCATTCGTTTTTTGTATTCTAAAGCTGAATAGGCACTTTTTTCTTTATGTCAGAAAACATCTAATTTTAGTAAGCAAAGTTGAATACCATGAAGACATTTGCTAACGCAATACTATCAGGGTTATTCACAAAAGGGTGAAGAGTTTGGAGAAGGCAAAAGAAGTGGACAATCTAGGACAACATAGCTGAACTGTAAACATTCTCCAATTCAGCTCAATTTCCAGTTCAGCTATGTTGTCCTAGATTGTTCCCTTCTCCTGCCTTCCCCAAACTCTTCACCCCTTTTGTGAATAACCCTGTAAAGGTGGCCATACACTCTACAACCATCGCAAGACCTTAGTCTTGCGATGGTTGTACAGGGATTAAAAAAAACGTACAATCTACCTATCTTGGATAGGCAGATCGCGCTCTTGATCATCGCAAGCCCGCCCCCCTGAGGGGCGGGCTTCCGATGACCGCAATGCTGAACGGGCAGTGTGCGCGTGCGCACACCGGCCCGTTCGGCATTTGTCTTCCGAGCACCGTTCTAACCAGCCGAGAATCGTACGATTCCCGGCTGGTTTTCGAACATGCTGGTTCGACGGAAGACGTGCGACCGTACAGTAGAAACAGTCGCACGTCTCCGTTCACACTGCTCGATTCTCGTACGATTGCGGGATTTCCCGCGATTCTCGTACGAGAATCGAGCAGTGTATGGGCACCTTAAGTCTCAACATGTTTTATAGGAGATTTACATTAACATTTTCATAGCCTTGAAAATAATCAATAAATAATGATAATATAAAAATGTGTGTGTGTGTGTGTGTGTGTATATATATATATATATATAATCATCTCTTGACTATTAAGACTTAAGGAAAACTGGTAACTTAGTAACATCTATGGTAGGCGCAGTGTTACCTCGGCCAACAAAGGGTATAACTTAATTTCCAAAGTTTGAGTGAAGCTTTTTCATAAATAGTCCCTGTACAAAAGTACATGTAATAGTACAAAGTATAATCATGGGATGTGTTCAGTATAGAGTAGAACAGTGTTGTGTACAGGCGGCAAGTCTACTTTATGGGCTCGGATTTGTCATATAATTGTCATATCTCCTTTTGTTTACCTAGGTGTATTGGCCCTGTGGGCACTCATCACACATATCATGTATGTACAAGACTTCTGGAGAACATGGCTGAAAGGTCTTCGCTTCTTCCTCGGTATTGGAATTTTCTTCTTTATCCTGGCCTTTATAGCATTCTTCACATTCCTTGCACTAGCCATATCTAACCATCAATGTAAGTATGGTAGATTGTTGCTTTAAAGAAAATGCTTAGCGGTCTTGTTTATATTTCATTTCTTTTTTGTGGTCAACATTAAGACAAAATATGAAATCTTACATAAGAATATTTTGTAGTTTCTTTTCCAGTCAGCTGGTGGAGCTCTAGACTCCAATGAACCTGTCTATCCGTGGCTACTCTATTGAAAAATGTTACTTACATTAAACTCTGTAGTTAAACCTTAACCACCTTCCGTCCATGGCCGTTTGTGAACGGCCGGACGGACGTCTGCTAGGAGCGGGAGGGCGTCTTAAGACGTCCTGCCCCTCCCCCCTCTCGTGTGCGGCACTCAGCGCGCACACGAGAGGGGAAACTGTGAGCATGTAAACAGCCAGCGATGGCTGTTTACATACAAGCGATCAGGCGTCTCTAGAGACGCCCGATCGCTTGCAGGAGCTGCGGGTGTGCGGCCGATGTATATTACAGTGATGTATATTACATCACTTCCTGCATTCAGTGTCACTCTCCGGTGCAGAACACCGGAGAGAAGCTGATGAAGCAAATCTCTGCTTCATCAGCTTCTGTGGGGGTCCCTAGGTGACATCAGAGGTCTTTGAGACCCCTGATGTCTCCATAAAGAGGACCTGTTTGGTGAACTGGCTATTACATAGGGATTTCTTAATCCCCTATGTTATAGCAATAAAGTTGTCTAAAAAAAGAAAAAGAAAAAAAATTACAGCATTAAAAAAAATAAAAAAGCTAAAAAAAATATTCACAAATAATAATTTAAAAAAATGACATGTTTTAAAGTCCCCCGCCCCCCCACATACAGATGCAAACATGCGTCGGGTGCGCCTATGTAAGAAAACGACGATTGCGCCTATTATGCAGCACATGTTACATATCACCACGAACGTCGCAGTGAAGTGGTTAAAAATACATTCAAGAACCCCAACTATTAACAAAAATGTATCTTAATTGTGTATTGCGCAGCTGTGGATCCTCAAATCGTCTCTGAATTGTCGTTCCTTCTGGAGGTTGGCTACTTTTGTTCCCCATGGTCTCTGTGTATGTTTAACCGCCTCCTGTCCAGCCGTTGTATATAAATGGCCGGACGGGAGCTTCCTGGATGTGGGTGGATGTTTTAAACGTCCTTTACCCGCTGTTGCTTATGCGCGCCACCTCGCATGTACACGAGCTGGAAACTGTCATTATTTGAAACAGCCCGCGATGGCTGTTTACATACAAGAGTTCGGCTGTAGAGCCGCCCGATCACTTGTATTTGGTGCCGCTCTGTGCACCCCCTTCGCTGCCAATCCCGGGCTCTGCTGTGCCCTGCACAGGCCCGAAACTGGCACGGCAGCTCTGAACAGAGATCAGAGGGGCATCACCATAGTGGCTAATGGCGCCAGTATTTTCTCCATTCACAGATCCTGTCAAGGGATCTGTGAATGAACGATGTTGGCTGTGTGGGCGGAGCCATGTAAACAAGCCTGCAGGTGTAAAGAACCACGATTCAGGTAATTGAGATGGGGGAGGGTTAACTAACCATGGTTCATGCAAATGTTTCACAGCAACTGTGGTCGAGGGCTGAAAATGGCAAATTAGTGTAAAAAAAAACTGGTATCAAAGAAGCTGCAAACCTAACTCTGTTCACAGCTACTTTAGTACGCTTGTAATTTACTTTTATATTTTTTGTATCTTTGAGCTACTGTTGCTGACAAAGAGAGAAGACTGATTAAAGGAGAAACTCGGTGCAAAACTTTTATTAATCCTTGCAGTGGAGCTACCGCCGCAGTGCAAGGGTTAACTGCTCGTTTTTGTCTAGGTGCTAAAATAAAAACAAGTTCTACTCCACCTGATCCTTGGAGCCGGCCAGCTGTTAGACCGGTACTTCCCCCTCCGCTGCAGCAGTCCAAGGATCTTGGAGTCATCAAGTTCTATATGCGGTGTGAAGGACATTAGGATGCCCAGGGACATACAGTACCATCGCTGCAGCATAGGAGAGACAGGCGGGTAGCCCCACTGCAAGGGTTAATAAAAGTTTTTAGTCCAGAGTTCTTCTTTAATGTATTATCTATCTAATAAAAGCTGACTACTGCTGACCTAATACTGTATATTGCATGTATTATAGTGTTGGTATTAGTTGTAAACGTTCTTTGGAATGAATACAAAAAAAAAATCATGCAGCACTTCTACTAGTTCAGCTGACTTGTATTTTTCTTCTCTCTCTTTCTAGCATTCAAGGATCCAAAGAGTTTCTACTTGTCCTGCGTATGGAGCTTCATGTCCATGAAGTGGGCCTTCCTGCTTGGCCTCTACTCGTTCCGTTACAGGAAAGAGTTTGCTGATATCAGCATCCTGAGTGACTTCTGACCAGCAAATCTCTTGTGACTGAAAGTGGATTTTTTGTAAATGGTCTTAACCGCATACCAGCTCCTTGTCTGTCACCGAGTTATTCCACGGTGACACCTGAAGGAAACGAGATGTAAAGGGACTGATGGAGCATTGGGGAATATAGGATGTTGCCTCCATTCTCATTTTATTACAGCTCTCTTCATCTATAACTAGTACTTTTAAACATTTAACTTTTTCTTTCTTAACCAATGTTGTTCATGGGATTTACTAAGTATTTTAACAGTGGTATAGCTTACAGCTCCTGTCAGTCAAACGTAATCAGCACAGTCACTTTATCTCTGCTTTACCCAAATGGAAAAAGATTAAAATGGTCTTGCAGTTTTAGCATACAGGGCTTCTTTTGATACAGTTTCCCTGATGAGTTGTTCTTTTGGTATCGACGCAGATGTTTATTTTTACTTTTTACTGGTTTTTATGTGTTACGTTGAATGTGCTGTAAGTGTTCAGTGTAAACACGCACAATGAATATCGACTTTTTGTCTGCAAAACGCAACCCTTTTTAATGACATGGTTTCTTAATAGAAGTGAATGTAGGAAATGAAGTGTATAAATTATGTAGCAACAGGTAAATTATTAAATGAAAATATGTAACTTTTTCTTAGTTTAAGAAATTTAAAAGTGCAATCTGAGAAACCCAAGAAAACGTACAGATATCAGCTATCTATTGCTTTGTTAGAATTCCTCCAGAGTCCAAAAGAAATGAAAGGTAAAAAATCAGTATATGGAATGTTGGTGCTTGCAGCTTTCATTATGTTCCCTAAAAGCCTAACTTAAAGGTGAACTATGAGGTGAGTGCTTTTCACTCATCCTCATAGTTCTAGCCGACCTGTGACAATGAGACTGTCACAGGTTGGCTCAGTAGATCGGGAGGTGAGCGAACACATACCGGCGTTCACAAATAATTGTTGGGATCCATTTCAACTGCGGCGTCTCAGTATACCACGAGCTGTAGCTCGCGGTATACTGAGCTTTGGGTAACAGGAGGACGCTAGTTTGTGTCCTCCCGTTACCCTTCGGAGAACTATGGGGAAAAGCCCTAACCCCATAGTTCTCCTTTTAAGGTTACTTCACAGTTTGTAAAATATATTCATTCTCTCTCTACTTCTCCTCCTCCCCCCACATCTGCACTTTTGCTTCAGGCTGGTTACATGTAAAATGATGCAGGGCACCTTGAAGATTTTTTTTTGAGGGGGGGGGCGGCAGCCCTTGACGCCCTCACTTAGTTACCCCCCAACTTAGTGGTTTGAATAACGCTCAGTGCCATTCAACCATGAAAACTGAGGACATCTTGTAGCACAAAGAAATTACAATGGCAGCCATGGAATGCAGTATTGCAGCCAGAGCTTTTTCTTTAATTGTTTTATACACCTCCTGGGGCACCATTTTGTAAGAATTAAAATAGCCAACAGTTGGGTTTTAAAGGGTTTTAATATTTCTTCTTATCCCTGGTCTCATTTCCCTACAATAAGATGAATGGCTCCTCCATTCTAACCTCCATGTCCTATGGAATTTGTGACAGAATGTTTGTCGTTTAAAACTATGGGCTGCCATTTTTTACCTCTCCTAATAAAAATGCTGATTGCTTGGCTGTCAACTCTTTTGCTTCAGTACTTTAAACTACCCAAAACTAGTATTCAGATGAGGACATTTTCCTGATCACATACTTGTTGCAGGTCAGTTGATCGCAGTATTTCATGTATCCGGTCTGCAAAACAGGCATTCATCTTAACATTTATGAAAGGAGGTAAGCAGTGACTGCCCCTTTTCCCTCATGGAAGCACTAACTGCAGGTGAAAATGACTTTTAAATCCAGACCTGTCGGCTATAAAGATGCATTGATTGTCTCTATATCTGTGCACCAGGCTTACAGGGTAACATACATACACAGTAGTATATGAACCGATAAGGGAGGGACTCTGTGTGCGGCTACAAGAAAGGTTTGCTGAGAGCATTCCATTATTAGAAAAGAATATGAAAAATGTTTGTGGCGATTTCTCTGAAATATCTTTGCGTTTATCATTTGCACGTACTGTATATTATTATTATATATATAATATTTAATCTTACCATAAACCGAAATACTGAGCATTATTGTGATCAAAGGTTATTCCTTAGTAACTCTGTGAAGCACAGCTAGATATTTTAAAGGGAAAGTGTACTGTATTTTCAGTAAACACATATGTTGTTACTATAGCAGTATTTGTATTTTTTTTAATGTCTTTTATATTTTATGTGATTGCTTTTCCATTTATTTTATTACATGTAGATTAGTGACCAGAAGAAATGCAGACTAGCCATTGCCACTACTCTACTTCCCTTTATTAACAACTGTTGAGAAAAGATATTGGCAACAAAGGGATTACATTGCTTGACAGCTGACTGCAGTCACATACTGCCCTTCAAAATATAATTTCCAAGAGAGGAACATGGGAGGTGCCATTGCTGAACTCTCCTAAAATTGCCAGTTATTTGTAAGGTTTATATAGGTAGGACTTAAAGTGACATTAAACCCTCAGATTTTTTAACATAAACCAATACTGTAATGTGTGCCTTACTGTAATCCATGGTTGTTTCCCTTCTCTTTGCTGCTCTTCCTTTTAAATCCTCATGTCTTCTCATGCTGGGTGAGAACTTCCCTTTTCAGCTCAGGGCCTCTTCCAGTAGTGCTGGCTCAGGTTGCACCCCTACACACAGACACCATGTATCCATTCCGGAGACAAGGTAGTCTGCTGCAAAACAGAAGTTCTGCCCAGCATGAGAACAGATACAGATTTAAAAGGAAGAGCAGCAAAGAGAAGGGAAACAACCATGGATTACAGTAAGGCACACATTACAGTATTGTTTTATGTTAAAAAATCTGAGGGTTTAATGTCACTTTAACACTGCACAGTTACTGGTGAATATTTTTAATCTGACAGTACAAATCTGTTTTAGATTTCATCTATGTGCTGTCATCCTAAATATACCCACAGATAGTACTTGACAGCCACCCCCCAGCCAGACCAGGGGACAGTGCAGTGTCTATTGGTTGGGGAGCAACCAGACATATTGGAAAAGTCTTGAGCGTTTGCCTCCTTTGTCTAGATCCACAGGCTACACAAATGGTCGCACAATCCTCCCAACAGTGTTTAAGAAGCCATTGGTTGGATTGTGCCTGCATCTAATATCGCAAGTGGCGACCATAACATTTAAAGGGAAATAGCCTGTGAAGGTCCCAATAAGTATAGTCTCATTTCTCAGGTAGGAACTCTATTCCAACTGGGTACCAAACCTGAAAATGTTTGAAAGACTATTCCCAAAGCACCCAACTACATATGGTTATGTATACTTTTTTAAATACCTTGTAGTTATGTCAAAGGGAAACTTGGCAAACCTTGTTTTAGATAGTTCGATGTTAGATCACCCAAGTGCAGCATTTGGGTCTATTATTTATTATTATTTTTTTTTTTAAATAAACTGGTGCTTCTAAATTCAACCCAAGTGGAACAGAATCCATATTTTATACTGAAATGTATCTACATCAGTCTAACTAATCCTAAAATGTAAAGGCTCTGAATTGGGAAAAGGCCGCTATAAACGCACAGATAGGAAAAATATGATTTATATTTACCATTAACCATGTGCCTGAGAAGCTCCAAGACTATTCAAGTCTTTAAAGGGAGTAATCATTTTTAGAACATATCTACATTTCTTCTAGTGTAACTTTTTAAGATTTTTGTTTCTTGAAACACAGCATGTATTGAACTAAAGGCCTATCTAAAAACAAACATTTACGGTAATATATTGCAGCTTACCAGTCCTAAAATGTGGTGGTTGCATTCATTTTCTTTCCTTCATTTTTACTTGCTGATCCGGCCAGTAACACACTTTCTGTCTTAGGGTGGTTCTGCTCTATGTTGGGAGTAACAGAGTCACCCTTGGACAGCAGCATTGTCACCGTGTGGAGAGGGTAGTGTTTTATGCACTAGAAGATTTAGACGGAATTGACTAACAAATTAATTCCAAACTCCAGCTAACTGCAAGTTGTTGTTTTTTTTCTTTTGGGATAAAGGTCTTACATATATTAACAAACCCTGACCATTGTAAGCTCCTCTGTAAGTGTTAAATGGTTTGTCCCTAAACTCTATCTGTTACGTTTGCTGGACAGCCTGGTCTGTTAATGGAAGTTGAAAAATAAGAAACTTACTGGACGGATCACCGGGAGAAAAAGACCAAAAATAAAGAAAAACAAATAGTCATATAGCGATTGGTATGCTGCTAGCTATATATA